CTAAATGGTTGTCAAAAACAACTGAAGTAAGATCCCGGCCAAAATGAAGACTTAACGTAGAAGATCGGTGGTACGAACAGAAACAAAATACAGCAAAAAGTTTGATCATCAAAATAGAGAGTGAGCAGACATTAGCAAGATCAAGATCAAGGTCAAGGTTGTGATGTGAGAAGAATGAATGTTTGAGACCAAGACTTGTATGAACAATAATAATATTGCAGCATTAATTTTGTTGTATAAATGGCTGAATTAAATTTCCATGAAGGGATTTATGAAACAAGAGATTTAAGTAATGAATCGAATGAAAATTGTTTTGGTGTGTTAGAAGTCATTGTACGAGTTCGTACACACCCCATTGGACTTATGGTCCCGAAATATACTACGTGGTCCCCAATTGCTGCCTTTCCTGTCTCGAGACGAGATTCCGAAGATAGTCTGCAATTAGAGTCTCCTAGATATGCTGACAACAGCTATGTGAATTTGTATGTACCAGTGGCGTAACAACAAAACTTAGATTTCCTTTCTGTATTTTAAATGCTAAATACGTATTTTCAAAATACTATTTTGTTGTACCTATTTAATTTTCTACATTTACTTAAGTATAAAATATTTTTTAAGAAAACCTTGCAGGCATTTGCTCATTTTTTAAATATTGGAGTTTTTCTAGACTAATAGTGGTGTTTGCACTATATCACCAGCTGGGAAGATTAAGTATGATTTATATTTTTCTGTTTGAAGTAATTGAGATACAGTTTTTCTATCTTTATGTCATAGTTTCTTCAGTTCAGCAAAAAATAATTCTTCTGTACGCTTCCTTATTTACCTTTGTCATCATGAAAGAAAACACTGAAGCCAAAATAGTTTGTTGTAATAATTTTATTGATGAACAAACAAAATAGGTCAAAACCCCGACGCTAAAACACGACACTTTAGTTGTCCGAAGCCCTTTTTAGTAACAAGGTTACCTTCTTCAGGGACTAAAGTGAACTGCTTCACTTCTACAACAACCGCCAAAGTCTTTTCAGTCTTCATAAATTTTATTGATGTAAAATCAAGATCAATCATTTTATATCAAAATACTTGCAACCCCATTTTGTTTCCGATCTTTTACACATTTTAATAAGAAATGGAATCATTAATTTNTTAGTTTACTAAAAGCTATTATTATGTTGCAAAAACTGTATAAGGTAGAAACAGTGATGAAATTGTTGTTATAATTATTATCGATAATTATTCTTATTGTCAGAATATTTTGTTAGAGATGCACTCACATAGAAGTAGCACCGAAACAGTTTTGTAACCACGTCAATAAAACAATTAAAAGACAGAACTGAGCTTTTTATTTTTATTAACTTTTTCACCCGAGTGTAATGGGTTAATGAAAGGCATCATCAGAGACCTTAAGACTGTTTAAAGGCGACCTTCACACTTTCCTACATTTCTTCAATGTTCGCATCTCCCAAAAAAATCTCATATCTCTTAATACCTGCAAACAGTAATCTAATAATTATTATCTACCTTTCTTTACTTCTGCTTATGTTTCCAATATGTTTACAGCAAGCACTTCACGTATTACAAAGTGTCTTACCCGTCAATGGCGTGCTACTCCGTTGACTGAAATCGGTCTCGCACGCGCATGACGTCATTTCGAGTTTAGGTACAGAGCGAAGTTGCTGAAAGTGAATATTTATACTATTTTGTTGTGCCCGGTAAATGGCGTGGGTGATCGTTAAACCATTTAGAAATATCAAAAGGACATCAAGGTTTTTTATACTGTTAATAATTAATTTTGTAATTATAATAAACTTTGCGCACAGTTTTAATACTAGACGAAAGTAAACGTTCGTCCTAACTTTACATTTTGCGGCATATTTGTTCAAAGTTAACTAAATTAGTCATAAAAGATGCTTTGTAAATATTACAGGGTGTCCAGAAAGGGTAGAGTGTGTTTGTAAATTAAATAAAAAAAAAACAATTACAAGCGATTGATTTGAGGTGTGGCAAGTGACCTCATCTTGTTGAAATCATCTTTCCACATTAAAACCACCAAACTCTTGCAGTTGTGGAACCAAAAAGTTCTTAACTCGTCACAATACCCGTCACTGTTTATCGTAAGTGTTCGGCCTTGTTGGTCTTCAAAGAAAAGAAGTCCCAATGATGTCCTCAACAGACATGGCAACCCATGCATTAACTTTTGGACTATGTAGTGGTTGTTAATGTTTATGTTTTGCATTTTCTTTGGCTCAGTAACCCCAAATATTCGAATCCATTTTCTGATAGTATCGTCCTTCGGTGCATTCCGTAGGTACATTAAATTTTGCCCGATATAATCGTTTAACTATGATCATCAGCGATAATAGGCACGTACGCAAAAAGCACGATAGTGTCCTGGGTACACTTCCATGGTCATTACATCTCCAAAAAGTAGTGAAACAACCCATCCCTACGGCACCCCTCCGAACCGCGTTTATGAAATAAAATTACCCCCCTTCCCGTCATGGAATACTTCCGCACTCCCTGACAAATACAACGTTGCACGATAGACGCCAAACCTGTGCAAAGCAGTGAATGTTTTGTATTATATGTATACGTATGTGGTTATAAAGACGTAATAGCGAGCGGCATGACCTGAGGTTTATACCATGCTTAACATTCGGGAGGACGTCGATTCGATTCCGATTCCGTCTGTCTTGGTCCATGTTTTTCTGTGATTTCCTTGGATCACTTAGGCAAATGCTGGGGTAGTAATATTCCACAGATAATTTTTCATTCTCTTCTGGCTTAACCACCACCTACCCATTCGCACGATTCCTGAAGGGAGGCTGAAGAGGGTCTTCCGTTCTACCTTCCGGTGTAATCCGGAGGGATTGCCCGCCCACCAACATTACTGGCTGGTGGGAATGAAACACCCAAAAGTTTGTTTTTTAACTTTCTTATTGTGGGAGATATATACGTTATCACTTCTTTATAGCAATTCATAAGACTGTGAATTTTATAAAATGTTATAATTGATTTCCTCCTCAAATAAAATTTGAATGCTTGTTGATGTAATATTCCCTAATCCCCTTGAGGTAAAACATTGTATTTTATATAAANATTATTTCAGTTTAAAAAAGCCACAAAGTTGAAAAAATTATTAACAAAGTAAAATAAAAAACTTTTTGGGTTTGCTAATGTAGCAGTTTTATGTTTTGAGATCATACCTACTTATAGATAAAATAAATAGTTAGTGATCGGTATGATCTATCCGAGATGTCTGCTTCATGCATTTCGTAAAATATTTTTTTTAATGCTAGCAAGATTTACAAAAGCAAACGTGCAGATAAAGTAATCATACAGTTCTGTGCATAAAAGTTTAAACAATCTCATTTTAAATCGGGCTTGGCTATGAAAGTCTTCTTCTTATTACAAATGGAAACTGTCAAATGCCGTAAAAAGTAATGTTAAATTATGCAACTGTTAAAGACTAGAGGATTAAAGAGTGCTAAATTATGAAATTACCTACTGACATTTCTAAAACCCTACCCTCAACAATTGACACATATTCGGAGAAATATCGTAAAAATTATTATGTTCCTTTTGGTTGAGCGGGTCGTGCGAGCGACGAGGGTGGGCCACGCGACCGACTAGGGTGGGTTACGCGAACAGCGAAATAAACCATAGGCATAACAATTTTAAGAGTTCTTTAAAAAGGGGAAATAGAACGTTTAAAAAATCATACAGGTGTCTGTTTGTCCAACGTTACATCCGCTTTATTCCCTATAAATATAAAATATATCGTCAGAAATATTTAGTCCGATAATTCTATAGCAACGTTTCGTTAAGGAACCGAACCTTCTCAAATATGTTAAAAGAGCCAAATCCAATTTAAAATTATTGTAAATAACGAAATAGACCAAAATTCAACATCAGTATGTGTATTAGTTTTTGGTTTATTGTAAATTTTAACGTTTTATCAATTTACATTATACTAATGGTGCAAGAAGATATTTGGTGGCAGTTGATTTTGAAGGACTAATATTTTTAAAAAAAAAAAGAGATATTAACGTGAATTTTTATGAATTTTATAAAATGTTATAATTGATTTCCTCCTCAAATAAAATTTGAATGCTTGTTGATGTAATATTCCCTAATCCCCTTGAGGTAAAACATTGTATTTTATATAAAAAATAAGATTAATAAGGTACGCATTAATGAGGGAGTATAGTATCGCAGAATGCAACGAGGTTATGAGGGGTGAGACATTTAGAGCTTGCAGTTGATGTCAATAAAAAGCTGAGTTTTTCAAAGAACTACCCCATTTATTACTCAGAGGGTTGATTAACCTGATACATCACCCTTCCCTCTTCCCCAGTTAATCTGTGACTTTAACGGAGTCCCAAAAAGCACACCAAAAGGAGTTCAGCCTAACCTCTCTATTAATTTTTAAAACATTTTTGAAAAAAAGACTTGAGAAAAGTGGAGGATTAATTTCCACCTTTAATTTCTGTGTTTCTTAAATATGCTGAAAAAGTTATAAAAATTAAATTTGAGTTTCGAATTTCTCTGTAATCCATCCAAAAACTAAGAAGGAAAGTAATAATTTTTGAATGACAACACAAAAACTGTAAACTTGAACAGTTTTATTCCATAAAATGCCCGAATTTCACGTTCATCTGTACAAAGCATGTAAATATGTACAATTACCTAATATTAAATCTTAAATTACTTACAATATAAAGAACAACGATTTGTATAATACTTAATTACATTTGTAAAAAAAGCGCCCATTTAAACGTTTAACAACAAAATACCATCATATCACCACATAGGCCATTCTTTAATAAAATTGTTAATATAATATTGGCAGGGAGGGGGCACATGATAATTATTACTACAAAATGTTATAGAAATTGTCTAGATGTCGATGGAATGTCATCGTGAACTCCGCTATTGGAGCTGTTTTCTTCTTCTTGGAGAGCTAATGGCACCTGCAAGTAAAAGATAGATTAAGTAGGTAAGTAGCTGATAGAGACGTGCATCATCATCATCATCATCATAAGGTCGTCAGTCCTATTGGACTGGTTGGACACGTACCTTCACTCTTTCCTATCCTGAGCTAATCTTCCCTAAAACTAGAACTACTCACCTAGTAATCTAACTTACGTCTGCCTCTACCCCTCCTAACTCCCGTTTCTGCCTCTAATATGTCTCTGACTGGACCTTCATATCTGATAGCCCTAACAACCTATCTCGTCTATTTTTTATTGACTTCCATAGAGTCCTCTGTGCAAAATGGTTTTTAAAAGTATTAAATATAAAATGCAAATACTTTTTTGATTTGTTATTTCAAATGTAAAGCACAAAATAGATTTCCCATTTTGTATATTAAATGCTAAATGCAAAATACGTTTTTTCAATTAAATACTTTTTTGTAGTACCTACCTATTCAATTATCTACATTTACTTGAGAATAAAATATTTTTTAAGAAAANTGCTCATTTTTTAAATATTGGAGTTTTTCTAGACTAATAGTGGTGTTTGCACTATATCACCAGCTGGGAAGATTAAGTATGATTTATATTTTTCTGTTTGAAGTAATTGAGATACAGTTTTTCTATCTTTATGTCATAGTTTCTTCAGTTCAGCAAAAAATAATTCTTCTGTACGCTTCCTTATTTACCTTTGTCATCATGAAAGAAAACACTGAAGCCAAAATAGTTTGTTGTAATAATTTTATTGATGAACAAACAAAATAGGTCAAAACCCCGACGCTAAAACACGACACTTTAGTTGTCCGAAGCCCTTTTTAGTAACAAGGTTACCTTCTTCAGGGACTAAAGTGAACTGCTTCACTTCTACAACAACCGCCAAAGTCTTTTCAGTCTTCATAAATTTTATTGATGTAAAATCAAGATCAATCATTTTATATCAAAATACTTGCAACCCCATTTTGTTTCCGATCTTTTACACATTTTAATAAGAAATGGAATCAATAATTTTTTCGAATCGTTTTCTAGGAATTTTGGATTATACGCATTTATTAGCCCACCACAATATCTTGTAGTTTTCAGTTTTACTCAGCTGGGGTATATTAATTCGATATTGTTTTGTAGTAATTCATAGAATTTTGTAGTTCCCTGTACGATAAGTGGTGATTTGACAGATGCTGATATCAATTTTGAACTTAAAAATCGTCGGTCCCTGCCTGCAGACATACAAATCAGTGTAATAATTATCTGATTATCATGTACATGATTGTACATAACAATAGGGATATTCTATTAAATCCAATAATCAAAGGGTGGCAACATAAATACGACGTGCTATAGGAAAATTGGGAATATTTTGGAGGGGTGTTACACTTTGCTTTGCTTTGAAGATTATGAGAGCTCGGTTAGTTTAGGACAATTTTCAGAGAAGCAGGGGATGGACAGGTTCAAATAGACGTAGTTGAAAAAAATAATTCCACACGTTCACCAAATTGTACGTATTCGCTTGTGACATGAAAATAAAAATCCTGACGAAGAAATGTGTCATTTCCGTGTACAATATCGGTTTAGCTTTACCAGTATAGGGAGGGTTAGTAAACTAACGACAAGATGCTTTAATATAATATCTAGAGCGTTATTTTTAACGAAATCTTTCTTTGGTTTTTTTTTTATTATTCATTCATTAATGTACTTACCTACCAGCCGAGTCCAAACCTGGGTGACGAATTTATAGAATCAAACAATAATTCAGAAAAAAACTGATAACTGAAGATAACAAACCAAGAATGAATCTTAAGATTATTACACTAGCCAAGCTAAAAATCCTTGATCAACTCACCAGCGGAACAGATCCACGGACTCACAATGTTATGGTAGAGTAGCTGAAGACCTGTCGAAAAAATATTGGTTATCCCATCAATAATACACTGAAGAAGAGGAAGGCTAGAAATAAGCTAAAAGTTAATCGATTGGGTGAAAATAATATTGAAGACCGTTATCATTACAGATGTGTTCCCATTTTACACGATAATTGCAATGGTAAATGAAGAATCCAATACGCTAGCAGAAATCAAAAAAATCCAACACGTGAACCCTTTCAAAGGACAGAAAGTTATTTTAAGAAAGGATTTATGATATTGTCAGATGTAGGCAACGTAACATGCACTGTCACCTGTATGCAACCCAACGTACATAGCGACAAAGAAGACCAGAGTTTCGAGTTGTCACATTTTGGATCTTTCCAGAACAAATAAATAGTTGCTGCGAGTTCGCGTTACGAGGCAGTACAAAGCGTGTTAGTAAAAGCGAAGAAGCGACAAAGTGTGCGGTATAGTGGTGAATTAATAATTAATTAATGATAATGGTGTTGGCTGAAAAGTACCTAGACAGTTAAATAAAATTAGTGAGTAGTTAAGAAGGTTATTTATTACGTAACAATTATTAGTGAGTGTCTCTCCTATAATGATAAAGGTCGTCTTCATTTGATTGACCGAAGTGCAAATATAAACTTTCTGAAGAATTTTTTGGCCAAAGATCCAAATGGTAAGTTTATGTTCCATTAATATATTTTGCATATGTACACATTTTTCCAAGAAGATCACCATGAGCACACATTTTGAATATATCTGTTCCTAGAGAAAAACGAATGTCGAAGGGTTGTGGTGTTGCACCTACGTATTTTTCCATTGGGTTAGGTTAGGTTAGGTTGCTGAATGATAACGAGACCCTGGAGGTGCAGTTTTCATTATTAATATTACGCTGATGCCGTGTTCCTACTGTTTTTGTGTCGTGTCGTTTTACATTGCATTTTTACTTATACAATCGTGTTCATACCGTGTTCGTACCATATGCAAAAATCTCAAGGTGTCAGTAATTGAAATGGATCAAAATAAAAAGAATGTTTAGTGTGGTAGTTTGTTCCACGTATATTCTTTTAAAGCGCAAGGAGAAGAGGATCTGGAAGATTCATTAATTCATCGGTCACCTATATCACTCACTCACTCACCATGTATTCTCGCGATGCATTTCGTTGTTTGGCTACTTTCATCAGCAAGCTTTAAGGCGCCATATTGCAGTTTTCATTAGGCCCACTACTTACTCATAAAACAGGTGTGCGTTATTTTTTGAAAGCGTTTTAAACTTATACTTTATATTAAAGAAAGAAGTAGATATACCATTTTGATATATAGGTAAGGCAAAATGTTCATCCAGCATATAGAAATTTCACATTCTTTTGTCTGCATCTTTTCTGCATAATTTGATGAACGTCTGGAATAGGGTTGGAAAAGCGACAAAAGATCGACATAAAGTTAAAGGGATTGAAGCTTTCTCAAATTTCTANGCTAATTTTTTGCCTACGTTCTACATATGTTTGTACAATCTATGAACGGTTTTAAAGCCTTTACATAATGTAAACCTTGACCCCTCCACGTAACAGGATTATAATCCTCCGTTCCTTCAGTTGTGTGTTTTTTGTTATTATGATTGTAATAATGGACGTTCGACGCAAGTTACAAACATATTTGGCTGTCTTCCCCACATTGTAAAACATAAATCAAAATCACGTAAACTATTTCTTAAATTTTCAATTTTTCCTTGGTTAGGTTAGGTTGGGTTAATTTAATTTAATTCTTACCGGTTTATCTTCAGTTAAAGTTGGCAACAGTTCGTCCGTAGACCGGGGACTAGGAGTGGGCTGGTTTATCCTTCCGTTGGCCTGCATCGCCGCCGTCATTTTTGCGAGACGTTTCTGCATTTCACGTTCCTCCTTCATTTCCCTGTCGCGTTCGAATCTTTTTGCGCTGTAACTTCTAATCGACGATCCGCTGTGGATAGACGATATACTCGGTCGACGAGAACCTTAACACGTCACAATATAAAAATGATGAGAATTCAATGTTAAATGACATTATAAAAAGAAGGAAGCATTTTAAGCATATATTTGTGTGCTATGTAATGTACAATGACATCTGTGCTTTGCAAAGCAATTATAAAAGGTAGAATTATATGGTGAAAGAATATTTGTAACATTAGTGAACTAAGTTTTTGAATTAACTTTACCCACTGTAGATAACTTCAAATTAATGAGAAAAAAATAGTGCTGGTGTCACTTCCTCGCCGGGAATCGAACCCGGGTCCCTGGTTTTACGCACCAGTAATGCTAATTCAAAAAATTCACTAATGCATTGAATTTAACCCTACAAGAAAATCAAAGTGCTTCTTATTATTTTTTAACAATTTGATTAAATAAGAAACTAAAGAAATAACAGTTTGAAGTGAAATTTAAATAATAATATTCCGTTAAAAGATATCAATACAATTATTAAGTGGTTTTCATTTATATAATTTTAAAAAAGTATTAAACCTAAAATTAATTAAATTTTGGTAAAATGAACTTTCTCAGCTATAAAGTTATGAAGATGTACCATTTAATGCAAAGTTTAATTTTAAATTTGCTTTGTTTTCGTTTTATTAATGAAAAGTTTCAATAGAATTACAAATGTTTCATATCTTGCTGTTAAATGGTTATTATAAACATAATTTATTATC